GTGGAAGTGGAACACATGGTGGTGGAACTGGGACACATGGTGGTGGACATGGAGGTGGTAGTGGGACACATGGTGGTGGAAGTGGAACACATGGTGGTGGACATGGAGGTAGTGGTAAACATGGAGGAGGTAGTGGGACACACGGAGGTGGGATCGGAACACATGGAGGTAGTGGTAAACATGGAGGGGGTAGTGGGACACATGGTGGTGGACACGGAGGAGGTAATGGAACACATGGAGGAGGTAGACACGGAGGTGGTAGACATGGAGGAGGTAATGGAACACATGGAGGGGGTATACATGGAGGTAATGGCAGAGGAATCAATGGAATTGGTATCAGTTTAGAAAGTGGTAATGGAGGTGGTAATGGGCATGGTGGTAAGCATGGGAGTGGTGGTGGAATACATGGTGGCAATAACGGAATTGGAGGTGGAACACATGAATATACACAGGGTTTAGCTTCGACCTAGAGAGGAAAAGATCATTAATAAGTATCAATTAATTAAATTTAGTATTTTTGACAATATTTATATTTTACCTTAGTCAAACTAGCCAATGCTAATGCAGCAATTACTTTAAATATGCTAACTTTTTCCATCGTAAATGGATGAAGAACTGATGAATAATGGATGTAAAGTATTACCATAGATGGGCTTTTATACTGAAGATGATTAATTTGTTTTACAAATATTGACGAAAAGTAAACGGATTAAATAATATTGTTATCTGCTATATTTTTTTTTTATCAATAAAATGATAGTGTACCTATCAAGTTATGCGAAGGTATAAATTGAAAGCGATAGCATTTTTTGTTTTAAATAATGAGAAGTAAGAAAAACTACTAAACACGGATATAATTGTAAAAAGAAATTTAGAATAATAAGTTAAAATATGTATTAATTATAAAATAAATTAAATTTTAAATTTTAAATGAAGGAAGTATTGGTTTTGATAAGAGCTTTTTATTTTTTACTTGTCCTTACCAGAAGACTTGCTCTGATTATAAGAAAGAGTGAATATTAGAAAGAGGGAATATTATGTCTACAATATATTTTAAGAAGTTCTATTTATTGAAATTCTCTTTAGTTTTCAAAATTAGAGTAATCTGAAAATATTTACAATAAAAAAAAAGAAAATTCTGTAAAACATTTATGGGATATTGGTTTTTTATCAAATATAATTATTTTTTCTTTACAAATAAAAATCTTATAATTGTAATAGGTTACACTATTAAAACTTGAAAATTCTGTTATTTAAAAGTGGTATAATTTTCAAAAGATTTCAACTATTTGTACACTATTAAATATTCATGTTTGCTAATTTATTTTTCTCGTAAAATGATTTTGGTCGAAAAAAAAAATAAAATAAAAAGTTCCTCATAAAATTTTTTTATTTGTATAAAAAAGTATCAATAGCTCTTCGATGCAATTCTTTTTTAAGCATTTAATTTTAAAATTTTAAAAACTCTACTAAAAAAATCAAAATGTTTCTTGCATTTGTTTACGAATCATTTTTTTTGTAACAAATCTTTAAAACCTTAAATTGTATTAATTAATGCTATACCGCTAACTAAATAAATGTTAATTTTAATTATATACATTTATATTATATAAAATAGCTGTAAAATAGGAATTGATAGTGAGGAATATTATATAGGAAATCTACAATCATTTTAAATTTATGAAAAGTATCATTATATTCTTAAATTAAAATTTCATTAATGTGTCAGTTATTTAGAATATTTAGAATTTTACTTGTAGATAAATTGTGAAAATATTCCAATTTTTTTAAATAAGTCCACTGATTGGAGGTATTTGTTAAGTTTCACTGTACATAGTTATTAATTTACACATGAAATTAACTTTATTTCTCCCTCCAAAAAACGAGTGCCTCAAGATAGTGTACAACACTCCAATGACCGAGATTATCTGATATTTAAAGTTTAAACTCGTCCTAAAAGTTTTTTAAAGCCAATTTATTTTACATTTTCCAGACATATTTGCCGAATAATTATTAAAATATACAGTAATATTAATAATCATATAAAACAGTTTAATTTATGTATACAAAATTATGCATATTTTAAAAATAATTATTTTATTAAAATGTATTTATTCTGCTCAATAATAATTAATTTTACACTCGGTATATTTTTCTCCTGTTAATTTGCTCCTATAAAATTAAATACTTTTCAAATAAAATATATAAATTGACAAAATGAGTAGTATTTATACACTGCAATAGTCTATAAACTTATAATTACTTATAAATAAATAGTATTTATTTAGGTATTTTAAGGTATTTATTTATACTCCTATACTATAATAAATTAATGTTCATTGGAAAACAATATATAAAACAATATATTCTATATTTTGGTGTGAATACTTAATAACTTAATATAGTAATATAATAACTACAATTAACAATAAAATTAAGATTCACACATAACCGTAGCTTACTGAAAAAATATGCGAGATTCAAAGAAAACATACTCATTGGGAATAATATACTACAATATAAAATAAAAAAACTTAGTTTATTTAATTAATTATTCATTACAATTTATTAAATATACTTACACGTTTTGTTAAGATAGGGCTCAAAAATAATGTAGATACCCCATAAAATACAGGTCTGCGCACACCCATAGTTACACGAATCGTAAATGAGTAAGATGAACCGTCTCCCTAACAATGATTTTATTTCTATAGTAAATACATAGTAAAATTATAGTCAAAATCACAGTTGAACCAATTTTGCTTTTATGATAATAATAATAATTATTATGACAATCTAATTGTTGTTAGTGATACAGTGCATATGAGCAACTTTGGGAGAGGGCGCAATAGGGTTTTTAGCATCCCTGTTTTTTTTCAGATCTATATAATCTATAGTAATTACAGTTAAATACCATTTTATTTTATTTTCAGCACTTTCAGCACCCCTAATATTTGGGTTCTAGTTGCGCACATGATACAGGGTAAGATAATTGATAATACTTCTCAGTCGACTAATTTGACATGCTGTGTAATGTTTGGGACATTTCAACATAGACTATAGCAATAAGGCATATGCAAAAAATTGTATAGCCTAAAATTTAGCAATAACCTCGGCGAAACCATAAAAATGTAATCAGATAATTTAATCTATCAATATGTGACCGATTGAATTTCTGTAATCAGTTGAACTGACGTGGAACAATTAAAAACAAAATTAAGTGCGTTTGACTATAAAAGTTAAATCTTTCTGCAAAAGAACACACATTAAAGTAGTGACAGTTTTCATTTATTCAATAAAAAAAAGTAGTAATAATAAAAACAATATAAAAAAATGAATATTTTTGGAATAACGGTGGTTGTGGCGATGGCCTTTTTGATTAAGGTAAGAAAAATTAATATTATTACTTCATAAGATTCAGACATAGTCACCTAGGACTTACCATCCTGATTATCGTACTGTCTCATGGATCTAATAATGTTTAACGCTTTGATTCTATAAATCTTAGAGAAAAAAATAACAAAATAATATTCCATGTAATATGCATGTACTATGCATTCCGGCTACATATTTTAATGTTCCTTACTGTCTAGATCGAAGCTAAACCGTGTGACTGTTTACCCGCATGTCCAATTCCACCACTCCCGGCTCCTATTTGCCCACTACCCGCACCACTCTTACCTCCACCATTGGCAGCAGCTGGCTTAAGTCCCGAATTATTACGTTTACTGGCACTTCTACCATCATTATCTCCCGGTCTAACCAGTGCAGCTCCTGCTCTTTCGCTCCCTGGACCATTGCCCTTTCCGTTGCCCAAACCAGCACCCGCCCCAACTGTTGCCGCAAGTATTGCCGTCCCTGCTCCACCACCGGTAGTCATAGCTCCACCGCCAGCGCTCGGACCGTTAATAGTCCAATTACCATCGAAAAACTGCAAGCTGCCCCCGGTTGTCGTTCCCGCAGGTCCAGCGCCTAACTTGGTCGTAAAAGTCAAACAGAGTCCACCACCTGCTCCAATCATTCTACCCGCAGCCGAACCCGGTCCAATCATCATCAAAGATGGTGATACGATGAAGAAGCCATCCATAACGTTAGCCCCTGCACCGTGTGCACCCAAAATATTCTTCTCGTTACCATCGCCAGCACCTGTTCCACCAGTATTACTGCCACCCGGACCATTGCCAAAAGTGTTCTTCAACCCCGGATGTTTCCTACAACAACCCGACGTCGTTTTGCAATCTCCGGTCGGCTTACCGGAATTATTTTTAATCCCTTCCACTTGCCCGTGCCCACCACCGTTATACCCACCATGTCTTCCGGCCAAACTACCTCCGCTTTTGGCTAAAGTTCCTTGTTGTTAATCATTATTATTATTAAGGATTTTGTTATAAAATAGATATAATTTATCAAATTATTAAAAGTATACTCGAATTCACACTACATTAAAGTTAATATTAAAATCATATGAATTTTGTTTTTATTTTTTTATTAATTCAACATTGCTTTTTAAGCTTGATGAGAAAGATGCAATTTTTTTTTAATTTTTATAAAGATTTGCTTACTTGTCCTGGTAATTGAACCACGGGATCTATTATTTTTTCAATTATTTTATTTTAATTTTCTTCAATAGTGTATTATTTAATATTTTTATGATGTTCATTTGAACAATGTAATTATCAGCTTATGCAATGATAAATATCATACTATTTTTGTAGGACGTATTCAATAACTATCCAATTAATAGTTAGATTGTTAGATTAAAAATATAATTACATCTAAACGTAAAATTTACTCATGATAATGAAACAGAATTTTATATTAGTCTGATTGTACTATTCAACTGCGTATCTGTTTAAATTGGTAAGAAATCACATTATACTCTAGATACACTATTGAGCTGAGCAACATAAATATCATACATTAAGTGTTGTATTATATACGAGTATTTCGTACAATGAATTTATTTGAATATATTTTTAATAATATATTAAACAAACGATGTATATTGTATATTTATTTTGATTTATCTAATTTATTTAACCTTGAAGTTCTGAGTATTTCTTTTTTTACTACTGAAATCAGAATAATTGAGTATTACATTTTTTTTATTAGCACTCTTATTTATTAGTTATTATGGCTTTATGTATTGGCTTTCTCAGCTTAACAACAATGATTAGTTTTGGATACAAGTCTTATATTGGTTAGTGTTGATTAAATTAATCTATATATTCATGTTAACACAGTCATTTTATTCGCGATTTAATTACGAATACTCAAAAACCATAAGAATCATATAGCTAATAATACGAGTAATTGATCACACAATTACAAATTAGATTACCCTAATAAAAGTAATTTTAATATTTTTTATGAATAAATCTTTTTAATTTTGAACTCATTTTACGCTGAATTATTTTATTTAATAAACAAGTTTGATTTATGATAATATATTAAAATAAGTGTTCAGTACATTGCATTTAAAAAACTGATTTTTTTTTTTTTTTTACGAAAAGTTGTTTTATTTTTAGGAGTTTTGTTCTTGAGAGTTAATTGACTTAAATTCCTCTTCTTGTTCTTGAGATATCAATGAAATCGATCCCTTTCTTTGCTCGGGTTTGGATATGTAAGCACCTGACTCATTTTCAAACTCTTCAGATATTTCATTCCACAAATTAGTTCCATGTTCATACATTTCCACGTTACTAGTCGAAATCACGATATCACTAGTACTCATTTGCAATGGCGGCAAATTTATTTCGCACGAGGATTTTTTGTCAAATATTGGTCGGTTTTTGGACGGTAGAGGCAACATACTGCGTATGATGGGCAGTATTTTATTCGAAAACCAAACAGATTCGACTGTAAAATTAAACAGAACACATTAGCTATATATTAATATTATAATAGTTTTAATACGGCTCTTGCTTACAGCGATTGTTTGGTGCATTCTGTTTTAACGTGGTATTTTCGTAAGTAGGATTTTCAACGCTAATTCCTTTTAGCATGCAATTCAAATTCTCGAACACGAAATATCCTTCCCCGGTGATCTTCAATAAGAAAACATGTTATAAAATGTCTGACAAAATAAAAATTACGTCGTAATATGAATTACTAAAGGCTTAAGTTATGATCTACTGATTATAACCACCATACTAACCAATTCGTTACTATCCCAAGTACCATGAAACGAGAAGCCACATCCTTCACTGGTTGGAAAGAATATTTGAAAATTGTTTACTTTTCTATCTTCTAACCACGTCCCTTTCAAAATAGTTCCGGTTTTGCAGAACGTATAGGTTCCGGCTCCATGTTTCATATCAGATTTCCAATAACCAGAATACTTGTCGTTGTTTTCGAATCTGTAAACTCCTTCTCCGTCTTTTTTATTGTCCGTCCAATTACCTGATTAATATTTTAACGAATTATGATAATATAATTAAAAAAAAAGAAAAGATTTCTGTACATGTAACAGTTTCGTTATACAATAGATCAGTTATAATTGCAACTGAATAGTTGTGTTTATATTATTGAGTCGATAATAGTGTTTGTCTAATAATAATAATTACTTACTTCGACTATCAGACAGTTAGCGAATCTAACTGTTCAAAAACATAATCACAAAACATATCGAATACGTATAAATTTGTAAAACAATAGACGTTTATAATTTCTGACTCTAAAAAGTAATAATGCGATGCAAATGAAAATTTTATTATTTCAGACGATCACTATTTGTCAGTGTTAATTTCGTTCACGAGTAGAGATGGATTATTTAAGGACGTAAAACGGTAAACCTTCATATCTTGATTTATCCGGATAGCGCATCACTCCTTTACCGTTCCTCAAGCCTCTTTTATAACAGCCCCGATAACTCGCACCGTTTTTGAACGTATACGTCCCGTGTCCATGCCTCTCTCCGTTCCTGTAAGTCCCAACGTATGCGTCGCCGTTCGGTAAAATTGCTTTGCCAAATCCGTGTCGCTCGTTGTCGCTATTGCGTTGGCCGTCGTACGTCTGTGAAACAAAATCCACGTACGACTGTTAAATGTTACCGTCGACAGACGTCTAAGAATTTCCAAATATATTCTACGTGACTCGGCTTGACCCGGTTTATTTGTTTGGTTATTTTCCGAGTGGACATAACACAATATTGTTGTAACGCTGCAGTTGTTGTGCTGGAGTGTTAGGTATAAATTATATATAATATTAATTATATCCGGATTCCGATGCAGAGAAAAAAAAGATAAGTGTCATAAAATTCTATCTCAGTATTATCTTGTTATTGGTTCAATTTTTTTTTTTTATCTCGAACACGATTGATACAGTTTAATTTATTTAAACAATTATGATTCTCGTAGAAAGTATAAATTCGACTTTTGACACGATTGAGTTTTATTATCTTATCAAATATAAACATGAAACGATATACAGCGGGTAACAGAAGTGATCAGTAAAATAAAATATAGAGCCATGTAAGATATATGTAAAGATAAAGAAATACACACACACAAAGATGGTTAATTTTAAGATAAATAGATCAAATATTTATTAGTTTTGGATTTCATTTCATTTTAAGCTTCACTATATTAAGCTCAGTTTATGGTATATTTTAAATGTGAAATCGTGGATAAGACAGTAATATTATAATAAAACAATGCATTTTATTAATTACATGGAAATCAATTACAAATCTTTTTTTTAAATATTTTTGTAAGTTAAACGTTTAAAGAGAAATCTTATTGTTACTCTTCTTTTGTGATTCCAGATATAAAAAATATACTGTATTCGTGTATGATAGGATCAAACTTATGTAAACTAAAAAAATACCTGTTCATTTTTTAAGTTTTTAAAACATTTTGATTTACAATGTTTGATAAACAATAATATACGATAATATAACGAATCATTAAGCAACTTTTTTTTTTCAAAGATTAAAGATTTATTACCCCTAAGACGTCCAGTGCATTGTTACCCACATCACTTTCATCGCCAAACTCTTCGTTCGGCATAAATTCGTATTCACCAAGGCCTTCGTACTCATCATTTTCAGCTCTAACATCAATATCATTAGCCATAATGTATACACAAATGATTTTATTTAATATAATAATTCAATATTTGAATATTTCATACATTGCATACTGTATAATACATCGATAAACAGTGAAAAGAAACAGTCAAATTCAACTGTTATAAATTTGCATGGTAACAATATTATATGTAAATGAAATGGAAGTACTAAATGTATAAAGCATAACAATCGAATCAAAATAATAATAAAAATGTAAATAAATATATAGAAGTTTAAAACAATAATTCTGAGTGAAAAGAAAAAACGTTTATAATAGATTATAAATAGTCATCTAAAAAGAAATATAGTCTAGTTGTTATTTCGGGAATACAGATGGGTAATTATATAAATATTAGAACAAGAAAAACTTTTAATTAAGAGTATTATTAGTAATTGCAAAAAACTAACGAAAAATTACTTAAAAATAATTTAAATTGATCAATAAATTCTATCAATGGCATAGTTTCTTTACTACAATGTAGTTAATTATGAAACAAATGACAGTAGAATTTATCGAATAAAAATTGTATTTTTTTCTTTATTTTTAAATTATGACATTAAGCAGAAGAATTAAAATTAAAATAACGTTTAAAAATATAATACATAAAATTACGTAAAACAGAAAAAATGAAATAATTTTAAATATTGACATTGTATAACGTTTAAATACCCGAAAACATAAAAACAATATATATATATATATATATAATTTTTTTATTTAAGGCCTGATTTAAAGATTATATTAAAATGCAATCCTGAGCATTAATGAGTTAATAAGTTAAAAGGTAAGTTAATTTAACTTATTAACTTAACTCATTTCCTTACAGATTAACTTGAAAGTAATGTATTATTTTTTCATTCATCCCAATTAAGTTAATTTTGATTTTCAAGATCAGAAAAATATATTAGTAAAATATCGCATTCGATAACAAGTTCATGCAACTCAGAAAAATATAAAAATAAGAATGTCGAAAAAATGTCTAGATGAGACCATAATATTTATTACAGTATTAACTATTAATGAAGATCCCGCCGGTCTCGGAAAAAGTATTCAACCGTCTTAAGATTATTGAGTAAAAATAGCCATGCCACCCATGAATTCTTTTACCATTGTCATGAAAAGTGGCCATAAATCTATATTACAAAAATAGGAACATATTATCATTGGCTAAATAATTCTAATAATAATTGTACTGTAATTGTATAATTATTAGAATTATTCCATATTATATGATATTATTAAATAAGATTGATATTAAATATTATTGAATAAGAGAAGAAATTCAATAGCTGATCAACATCTAGAGATTACTCTTTTATTGAAATTCATTAGGTATTTTTATTAGCCTGTCCATTGAATTGTTTTATTTGTTTAGATTTTAATGAAGTTAAATAATATTATATATTTATTTTAATGTTTTGTATTTACTGTATACATTTATTGCCTATATAATTTTATAGTTACACTTTCAACTGCAGTAATTATTTTTGCTTTTCATACCGTTATTGAATATTAAAAATAATACTATTTTTAAATTATATTTATTATATGTGATTTGTGTGAAAAATTAATAAAACCATACGAAAATTATCAGAAATTTGTCAATTGTTAAAACTTGTTAAAATTTCATGTTTTCTCGACTTTTTTCAGTGAATATTGATACAACTATTTAGATATTCTTAAAATGTAAAGCATAGTGTCTTATACATATTTGTATTTATTTACAAATTTTTATTTTATATAAAACATAATGGATAATAATACTTTGGTGTAAAAATGACGTTACCAACACTAGGGATCCCGAGAAAGTACAACATTACCCCCTCTAACTGCTTTCCCCTTGTTTCTACCTCAATACATTGTATGATACTCATCCTGTTCTTTAATATATTGATGTTATTTTACTTTTATTTAAATTTATATTCGTTTATATTTGTTTATTCATTGTTATAGTAATTATTTTACTTAAAAATCGATAAGCAATAAAAAAAAAAACTTAATTATCTTTGATTTTTTACATTAATTCAGAATAATTTTAATGAGAAGAAAATTAGAAATATATATATATATATATATATATTCTTGAAAGAATGTAAATAGAGAAAAAATAAGTTTTAGACTTTAAATATCGAATGTATGTTTAAAATAATAATCGTACATAGTAATTTAAATAATTCAGAAGAATGCTGTAAGTTTCAATCTGAAATATTACTATTTTATTTTTATAAATTTACGAAATTTATAAATTTTAAATTTATGAAATAATTTAACACAAAATAAAAATGTTTAAAAAAAATTGACTAGTTACATAAGTAACACAAATTATTTGATATACAAGTCTATACTGTGGTCAATTTGAAATTGATAAACAAAATATTTTTCTTTTGAAATGGTATATAATTGAATGTTCATTTGAATCATTTATTTAAAATAATTAAACAAAAAATCATAGAATGACTAAATAACAAATAAAAATATTATTTTCATAGAAAGTACCAAAAATTAATAAAAACATGCACCTATAGGGCTTACATTCAAAACAAATCATGTTGTAATAAGTATATAATCATTTATCAACAACTGAAATTGTAATGTTAACATTTACCATTGTAATGTTGGATATCTAAATTATTTTATTGAATTCCACACAATTATCAATTGAATTCTCTCTGTAGAATAATTATATACATTAAATACTGTACAAATATTAAAAAATGTTTTTCGATTTTTTTTTTGTATACAGTAACCGTTAAAAATATTGTCTCGCACTATGACAACATTTTGAATTCCAATACTTTATTCTGATATAAAAACAATTACCTTTTTAAAAATATAACTCATTAATGAGGATGTTTGACAAAATGCAACGAAAATATAGAGAAAATGTTTTATTTTGAGTCATGAATGTACAATTTATATAGATTTGTTATTGAAATGCGAAACAAATACTTATAGTAAATAATGAAAATAGTAAGTAAGTACTATTTTCATTATTTAGTTACAAGAAAATACTGTAAGATAATTTAAAAATATTATTTGCATGGTGGAACAACACCCAGCAGTGGAGGTAACTTGGCAGGAAGGCATGGTGGGTAAATCGGACCTGGTAATGGGCCAGGAGGAGGAATTAAGAACAATTTCGGTAAACCAACCGGGGATTGTAGAACGATGTCAGGTTTCTGGATGAAATAACCGGGATTGAAAAACACTTTGGGCAACGGTCCAGGAGGTAGCAACACCGGTGAAGGAGGTGCTGGCGCTGATAAAGCGAAGTATATGTTTGGTGCAGCTGGAGATGGGGCTAACGTAATAGACGGCTTCTTGACCAAAGTGCCGTCGTTGATTATAATCGGACCAGGTGCAGCAGAGGGTAGAATGATAGGAGCAGGTGGTGGGCTTGGTTTGACTTTGACGATCAAGTTAGGCGCTGGCCCTGCGGGAACGACGAGTGGGGGTGCCTTGCCAGCTTTCGATGGTAGTTGGACTACTAACGGTCCGAGTGCTGGTGGTGGAGCAATGACTACCGGTGGTGGAGCAGGCACGGCGAGAGTTGTAGCGATGGTTGGGGTGGGTGCCAAAGGATTTGGCAAAGGTAAAGGGGCCGACGGGGCCAACGGGGCCAATGGAGCCAACGGTGGCAACGGGGCTAACGGGGCCGACGGGGCCAATGGAGCCAACGGAGGCAACGGGGCCAACGGGGGCAACGGAGCCAATGGAGGCAACGGGGCTAATGGAGCCAACGGGGGTAACGGGGCTAATGGTGCCACTGGGGCCAAAGGGGCCAATCCTTTTAAAAGAGTCAATAAATAAGTTAATAACGCAGGATTAAGTCCGAGTGGTGAGGCTGGTGGTGGTGATATTGGCAGTGGTGGCAAAGGTGGAGCTGCGCATCGTAACGGTGGTAGTAAAGCAGATCCACAAATTGTTGCATCAACCTCGAAAATAAGAAAAATAATTATATTCGAATTTTATGGGTATGGTTATACGAAACTGTTGCTTACCTTGATGAAGCAAACCACCATCAACGCTGCTATGATTTCGAAAACATACATTTTTGCAGTGTTCTAATAATAATGAATTGATGATGGAGAATAGAAATTTGGTCCAGCCTTTATACTCGAACCGTTCAATTGTTGTTTTCAATTATTTCACGTTTTTGTGGATTGATTATGGAGATACGAGGAAATGCGTGCTATTACAGCCGCATATTCGAAAAATTATATCTCAATAGTCTACAATTCCTTCCGCTAAGATAAAGTCATGTTTTTCTCAATTTTAATACAATAAAATGTATGTAAAGATTATGGATTATTGTAAGAAATTAATTAAAAAGAAAAGTATATAGTTGAATTATAAATTGCATTCCTGGTTTTACTTATCTAAAAATTAATTAATTATTAATTATTAATTTATATTATATATATTTTGAAGACAAATGGTTATAAGATTAGAGATTAATTGAAAACTTTGAATGGTAATTCAATAAAAATAATGAAATTGGTAAAATAATTAATTGATTTTAGATTTTTAGTGAATCCAGTAATTTATTGGTTTTACCATGATGTGTGTGTGTGTGTGTGTGTGTGTGTGTGTGTGTGTGTGTATGTACACGATTTTGACCAGAAGAACTGCCCTGATTATTGTAACCAGAAAAATAAAAATAGGATTCAGTGTGTAGTTAGCACTTTGGATAGGTTGTTGAGTAATTTTTGAATTTCTCAACTGTTTTCCGAATAATTACGAAAACGTAGAAAAAGTTGCAAAAAGAAACTTAAACCTAGATCAGATTTCGAATTCAACTCTATTTAGTATTTTGTTACGCACTATTTTTTTTTTTTGTGTTTTTGTAGACAATTTTGAACGAATGAATGCAGTAAACATTATATTCATAAAAGGTTTAGGATAGGAAATATAGTCTAATTATTAATTTTTAGAGTTTATTAAACGAATTTATTTACAGTTTTCTTAATAATGAAGAAAAAACCGCAACAATTACGATGTATCGGTTTTTGTCAAAATTGAATTTTCATTGTATTGTTACTCAAAAACTAATAATCATAGAAACTTGAAATGTTCATTGAATATTTATTCTACCATTTGCTATAAATGATGTAGTTGTAAAATGATTATGAGTTTTTTTTCTAAATATTTGAACATTTTATGTTTTCTACCCCCCTTTTTTTTTTTTTTTTTAATAAACATTTTTGAAAATTAAATACAAAGTTTTATACAACTATCTTTTACGATTCAAAAACAGTTTTTATAAGAATTGTAGTATTAAATTTTCATAAAACGATAAAATCAAGAAAATACGATAAATGTTTGTAATAAAAAATTCTAAGATTTTAAATTTTTTACTTAAAAAAAAAAGTAATAACACATTAAAAATTCAATCTACTTTGTTTTGGAATTTAGTTATATCCATCGCTCAAAACGTTCACTTAAAAATTGCGTTCATTGAGTAAAAAAGGAACTTGTTCACGTTTATTTTTTATAATAAAATCGTTCACGTTCAATTTATATGAAAACATGAAAACGTTAATTTGGCTGTTCATTTAAATTTTTTTTATTTATGAATCATTTATCTATATTCTGTGTTTATATTACTTTTACAAAATGTATTAGGTATATTGTACTTGTACTTTATATTTAAAACTTAATTTAAACATAATATACGATTTAACGTAAAAAAAAAAAAAAATTGGACTTAAGAACATTTAGAAGATATGAAGTGTTAAAATTATATTTTTAATATCTGACACGCTATTTAGTTTGAGAAACTAAAATTTGTAGATAAAAATTTTCAATACGGTTTGGTATTTATAAGTGATAAAATTAAGTATATACTAGAACACAACTAAAGGAAGGGACCGAGTTTAATGAACGTTAACTGTTATATGATATATTAAATAAAAATATAAACACTGGATTGCTAATTTTATAATTAAGTGGTGTTCAAATTACCCACTTCTATGCTAAATTATAAATTAAACATAGTGATTCATATAAAAAATCAATTACATTGATTTAATTATTGAACATTAACTAATATTTAATGAATTTGTAAAATAGCTGAAAAATATGAAAAAAATATTTCGTATGTAGTTATTGAAAATAACAACATAAGTAATTCTAACAATAAAAAATACTTTTTAATATATAAAATAATGTATTAAAATTATTGAATACATAAATAATATAAATAAAAAATGTTTTTTTTATACGTGATGATGAATTTTATTCGAAATCGGTCATAACAAAATGTTTGCATTTTAAACTATAATAGGTAGTTCCGGGAAAGACCTATTACTTTTATTTATATTGTTTTATATTTTTAGTATAAATTGTATATATATATATATATATATATACATTGTATAAATTAAATTATGTAAGGTTGATTTTAAAAAAAATGCAAATGTAATCCCTAATAAACCCGAATTCCCAACTCAGAGGATTAAAACAAAAATGAATTAAACATGAAGACATAAACCTTAAATAGCCTAATAGGTACATAAATAATTAATAAATAATTCATATTTTAATTACATACATTCTTAAAACTTTATTTTCTTAGTATACTAAAAATAACTTACATGCATCCTTATAACATAGTACATTAAGACAGCAAAAAATAAAACTATACACCTGTTTAATATAAATAGTAGCAAATTAAATTTAAAAATAACAATTAAATTAAACTTGAAACATATTATTTTGTTTTAATGACACTTTGCCACTATAACTTATTACCAGTGTATTTGTATTGAACAACATAAATAATTTTTATTCAACAAACTTAAATTTTTGTATTATATGTACTGAGAACTGGGTACTGAATATATTTTAATATATTTTCTCAAATTTAAATCATAACAAAAATTATGAAATTACATAATTTCGATGCATTTATATATTATGGAACATTTAATAGGAAAGTCTACAATTTTAATCAACGAATTAAAATATAATTTGAGTGGTTTCTATGTAATTTTTGAATGATGGTTTTGATTTTAATGCATAACCAATAATGAACTCATTTCACGTTTATATTTATTTTCAGAACTGTTAAAAACAATTTAATGTTATCATTCTAAGATAACTGTAACAATATTAGCGGGTCATTTTTAATATATCTTGTATGCTATTAATATGATCTAACAAAGTTCTTAAAAAGGTTGATGAAGAATATAAAAATATATTTTGGTAACCATTATAAAAAATTGCAAAAGTATATAGTCTGGCAAATAATATTTATGGTTATCTTATCAGTAACTAATATTATTATCATACTGGGCCAGGTGAAATCAAATTTATTTTAAAATTATAATATTTTTCAATATATAAACTGTTTACATTCATTAAAAATTGAACACATTTTTAAATAATTTTTTTTTTAAATATCTTAACATACCAACTATACAAAAAGATTATGTTGAAATGTTGAAAGAATTATATTAATTCAATAATTTTCTCTGAATTTATTTTTAAATCATAGTAATTTCTCAGATAGTATATGATATTCCTTTATTAGTTTTTCCAATGTGAAAATATTAATTATTAAACTTTTAATTTTTATAATACATAATATCCTTAGCGGATAAAAATTATGAACGTACATTACGTAAGTATATAAAATAATTATAAAAAATACTTGTGCGTTATGTAATTTATTTTTTATGTTTATTTCATAAAGTTCCTTTAATTAATGTAATTAATGATAGTAAAAATATATAAATATATAATTTTAAAATTATTATATTAATTAATATGTATTAAAAGTACATCGAATGATACATGTGTTCTTCTTTTAGTAATTATTTAGAAATTAATAATGGATTCATATATATTTTTATTATTGATTAATATTATCTATATTGAAAATACCTACAGATTGTTTTCTTGTTTAGGTAATTGAAGCACGTTATCAACTCGATACCACGATATTATTAAATACAACACTAGCCTATGAAAAATAGATAAGTTAAAAATATCTGTATTTAGTTATCCAATTATCATAAACAAAAAAAACAAACGTGTGATTATTAAAAACAATGGATTTTTATTCTAAGTATAAAAGCCTAACAATATAAACTATTAATACATTAACCCATCAACTCATCATCAGTCAATACATTCAGATTTAAAAAATGATTTTTTTAAATATTGTTTTTGCCTTGGCTTTAGTATGTTTTTCAAAGGTAAGAAATTTAAGAAAACTTAAACCATAAAATAAATCAATAACTGTTTTTTTTTTATCAAGGTTGAAGCTGGTCCTTGCTTGACATGTGGTCTACCGGGTCTTCCATTACCACTTCCAGTTCCACCACCACCACCATGTCTCCCACTACCACTACCATGTCTTCCACTTCCACCACCATGTCTACCACCACCACCACCATGTCTCCCACCTCCACTACCATGTCTCCCACCCCCGCTACCATGTCTTCCACCTCTTAATTTAATACCGGTTCCATTGATTCCTCTGCCATTACCACCTCCATTACCATGTCTTCCACCTCCGCCACCATGTCTTCCACCTCCACCACCATGTCTTCCACCTCCACCACCATGTCTTCCACCACCACCACCATGTCTTCCACCTCCACCACCACCACCATGTCTTCCACCTCCACCACCATGTCTTCCACCTCCACCTCCACCACCGTGTCTTCCACTTCCACCACCATGTCTTCCACCTCCACCACCATGTCTACCTCTTCCATTACCATGTCTCCCACCTCCACTACCATGTCTCCCACCTCCGCCACCATGTCTTCCTCCTCCGCCACCATGTTTGCCACCAGTACCATCACCGCTTGATCTCCTTTTAGGATTATGTTGATCATTTATTGCAAATTCAATACGGTCATTTGAAACAATAATTATAATGTACCACAGTTAAACATTTTCCCATAATAACTCACATATATTTAATATATCTTAAAATGTCGTATAAGTATCTGTTTAAAAATAAAATATATAGTTAATACAAATTAATTTTCCGTCTTGTTTGTCTTTGCGTTTATTGACGTTTTTATGCAGTTATGGTATCACAAAACTTTGTTGCCGCTGTAATTATTCAACACATGAATATTTTATTATTTTGTTATTTATAACACTAGTTACTAGTTACTAGTATTTGTATACTTATTGCATGGTTTTTATTTTGCGTCAGTAAAATTTTATATAAGAAGTAAGTAATAGATTATATTTTCTAAAAAAACGTTAAGTATTTTATAAATTATTTATAAAAAATGTCTTATGTTAAATACAAATAATTATGATAATATCATAATGAATCCTACTTAAATGATTAGATACTTTTTACTATTGATATTACCATTCATGAGTTGGTATAACGATCAATGGATACATAAAAAACATTAAACGATAAGGGTAATTTTGATTAATGGTTATTGACAAAAAAAAAAAGCTATTTACAACTATATAGATTTATATATATATATACAATCCTACAAATCCCAAAGTATTGATAATATATGTGTTTAGATTAGACATTTATCAATTATGAAATTTGGATGAAATTATATAACTTTTTTATTTTCCATAAAAAAAATGCATAATGTATTACAAAGACCAATGTTTATTTTGAACTTATTTTTTGAAGTATAATATTTCAAGTTACGATCGTTTGATTATTTAAATTAACGAAAAATTTGTTGGAGGTTGTTGGTGCAACACTTATTTTTTAAATACTATTAATTTAGCCACGGCCTACTTAAGTATCTTATACCATTGAATGTATAATTACCGAATTCAATATCCACGATTGGTTTCATGGTTACATTTAATCTCGTCTACAGTTGACATCCAATAACGCTAAGAACTACTTTCTACTTTATGTTATCTAGCTTATATACAAAATATACAAATATTCAAAAGACAATGTTTCGTTTTTATAAAATCTATACCTAGACATTTTCAAAGTTATTCTGCTACAAAATCATTTCTGTATATTAAGGAGTGAATTTATTTAAAATTTTATCTACATCATTTCACAATTGTTCCAGCAAAATTTTAAAATAAAATTTTATACTCTATACATTTTTTTTACATTTATTTACCTATATCGATAGTCCTAGATAACAAAATTAGATGTTATCTTATTTTTAAAATATTTTCTAATTTATTTTAACTCAAATAAGTGCTTTTTTGAGCTTTTCAGTTATAATACAAATTTAGTAATCTGTTATTATTTTATTAAAATTTTGAAATTTGATGCATAATTTTTTTTAAATAACTATTGTGGAGTTACACTAAATTTGAATTATTTTTGTGCAATATTTTATTATTAAATGGGAAGCAAGGGTAAGCTAAGTAAGAATATTACATTGATCATTCACATTGATTTTAGTATTTAACTCTAGTTCTTCTGACGAGTAAAGACAAATTACATATAAATCAAATAAATATTTAAATAATATTTTAATTACTTCCAAAACCTCGTTATAGCGTAATAAAAAAATATATATATATATACGTATATATTTTATATATTCGTATGGCATGTCAATATAGCACTTAAATTTTATCACAATAAAGAATTGTAACATGTTTACATTAAAACAAAATAGTTAGAAAAACTTCGATTACCTATAATTATTTATATTGTATAAGAATACTTGGCGATTGTAAACTCCGCCAGTTTTTTTTGTGTCTTACCTGTAAATCCTTTCATAGTTATCTAAGAAATTAATTTTATAAAAGTTAACCAAATGTTCATATTTTTAGTAAACTTTTTACCGAATTTCAAACCCATACTTATATAAAACTAAATGGCATATATCAAGTAAATAAGTTAAAAAATTCGAAAAAAAAAAAAAAAAAATGACAGTGTTACAGGATGCTACAAATAGGTATACTAATGGTGTAATACAAGACTTAGAATATTTACAAATAGTATCACATCATTTTAGTTTAAATACATAACTATATATTTTTGGATTATTAGGTATAGCGATTATTTATTATGATTTTTTTACTATGATTTAAATATTTAATGTGAACGATATGATTATTATATTACGATATTATATTATAATTTTTTTTTGGTAATAAATCATATTCATTTTATACTTCTACTCAATTTTCTTCATTAGCGGAGTTTATATGAGTTAAATTTTACCTGATTCTTTTCAGTGGTGGAGTTTACATGCACCCAAGAGTACTATCTAAACATAAAGAGGACGTCACACCCTCACGTATTGCCACCGTCTGATACACGTACAACATAGCAATTTGCATTCAGTAGTTCAAATGTAGTGATGTTAGCTTAAATATTAAAGTAAACTGACTATAATCAAACGTTAAGAGAAGAACATTATCTATGTTTTGTTGGTTGGTTTTCTCCAATATTTTAATTTTCAAGCGCAGTATAAGTTTTTCTTTTAACTGTACCATTTTGTATACTCATAACTTGCAAAAAATTAAAATATCAGAAAAATCCAACATAACTCAAGAATAATTAATAAATATAATTTCCAAATAATAATAAATAATCTGAGGTAATATATATTGTATACGTTAACGCTATCACTGTTCATCATTTTGATAACCAGAGAATATGTGAACAAATTTAATTATTCAACATTTACATTTTTATTAAAATTTGTAAGTAAACAATGTCAAAGTAAGTAATTGATTAGGTTGCCATAATATGATTATTTAATAATGTATACAAATATTTACTCAACTTTATTTAACATTTTAAAAAAACAGTTAAAATTTAAAATTGTACGTATCCATAGTTTTTTTCAAGTATTTTCTGTAATTTATTAAAAATTTGTTATATAATAACACTTTGATAATATTATACAGTTACAATCTTATAGCTCTTAATCCTACCTTTAAATGTTTAACTTAAAAATATAGGTAGAATTTATGAATAGAAGTTAAAAAAGTAAAATGCATGATACAATACCAAACAAAAATTTTTAAATTTATTTATATTTATTTTACAAGAAACATCATTAAATCATAAATAAATAAATACAAATATATTTAAGACATTGGTGTCTTATCGAATACAACATTGAAAGTATATCACAGTAGACTACTATCGGTAGTGAAAACGTTATGAATATAGTTTCTAATAAATATATAAATATATAATAGTTTTATAAAAAATAAAATAAAAACAATTGGTCAAAAATGAAGACTATTGTCTTGTTATCAACTAAAAATATGTCTAACAAGGAACTTTTGAGTGAAATGGTTTTTTTGGAATAAGGTTAAGGTGACCCGTATCTGGTTTTAAATTAATCGTTTTTTTTAAGTTCAGAATTTTTTCAAGAATTTGATTAATTTTTTCTTGTTTGTAATACGTATTTGATATTGTAGGTGATGAATCGACCAAACTTGGTGGATTTGGATTATGAACGGCAGTGGTCGAAGGTAGAAGAATGAATATTTTTGACGTATCGTTTGGGTTGACTGTTACTATTGGCTTTTCTTTGTTGCTATTTTCAGTATTCGAATTTTGAGATAGTTGTGGAAAAACAATTGCTTTAGGTGCAATCTCTAGTAGACATTTTATTATAGCTTCGAGGGTGTTGCTCGCCCAAGGAATTATAATTGGAAGAGGTTTTTTTTCTTCGTCTTTGCACGGTATTTTTTGGGGAGAAATCGGTGTTGGAACTATTTGTGGCATTGGAATCGGTTTTGAAACTATTTGTGGTATCGAAATCGGTTTTGGAACTATTTGTGGTATCGGAATCGGTTTTGGAACTATTTGTGGTATCGAAATCGGTTTTGAAACTATTTGTGGTATCGAAATCGGTTTTGGAACTATTTGTGGTATTGGAATCGGTATTGGAAATATTTGTGGAGTTGAAATCGGTTTTGGAACTATTTGTGGTATTTTTGGATACGAAATTGGTGACTGAGTAGGAGGGCAAATAATCCCAGGTAATAATGATAATTGTGGTAGTGTCGGTAGTTCAGGAAATTGTAATAAAGGAACTTTATTAAAAATTGGTTTTTTAACTTCGTCTTTACATGGATTTAATTTAGGTAATTTAGGGAGTTTCGGAATTATTTTTTTCGGGCACAATATTGGTATTAAAGAGGTCGGACATAATATACCTGACAATCCAGGGACTTGTGGTAGAGGAGATGGCGGTAATACTGCCGGTGGAATCGTTGGGATAACTGGTGATGGAAGTACCGATGGAAGTGATGGCACAACTGGTGGTGGAAGCACCGGTGGTAGTGATGGCACAACTGGTGGTGGAAGTGCCGGTGGAAGCGATGGTACAACTGGCGGTGGAAGCGATGGTACAACTGGCGGTGGAAGCGATGGTATAACTGGTGGTGGAAGCGATGGCACAACTGGTGATGGAAGCGATGGCACAACTGGTGGTGGAAGTGCAATTGGAAGCGATGGCACAACTGATGGTGGTAGTGCCGGCACAGGTGGCGGAGTTAAAGATGTTAAGGAGGAAATAGAAGTATTAATTGATTGGAGGATAGCTGGAGGTATAGACTGAACTAAAGTTGGGCTTATGGCCATCGCGGACATGAAGCCGGAAAGTACATGATGTGGTATAGAATTAAATAAACTTGGATTACAGGCGATCTTAGTCAGTAATTTAACAATAATTTGCGGTGGGATGATACATAAATGGTCGGGATGCGACGATAGGAACGTCATAAAAGCGATCAATTTTTTACTTGCGATCTTAGTTACCGCATCATTTAAAGTATTACTGTTGATTTCCGGTATTGGTAAAAGAGGTGATAATGATCCAAAATCAATTGGCTTGATGTGTGCATTAGTGCTCTATAAAAAAATAAATAAATAAATATAAATAAACATAAGATTTATCATTAAAAAAAAAAAAAAAAAAAAAAAACATTAAATATTTAAAAATAATGATTTACTTAGGTACTTAAATGAATAATACAATAAAAATTATTCGATAATTTTTATTTACAATAATGAAAAAACTCACTGTAAATTGTAATGAGCACACAACCACACAGATAAAAAAAGTCAACCGTTTCATTTTTGTGTAATTTGAAATTTCTTAGCTAAACGATTGACTGTGGTGAAATAAACCTAATAAATTAAACGTCTTTCGTTTTTATACAATAGGCGTCCTACCGGACATAGTTCGGTTAAGATTAAGATTATCGGACAACATTTTTATCTGAAATATGCAATTTTTTTTTTTATTTACCTCACACACCGCTAGTAATTTAACAAATATTTTATCAAGTTGTTCATAAATAACGTGCGTTTTAAAAGTGACGACTTCAATATATATTAAATTTGGTAAGTTTGTTTTTATATTACTCGACTAACAATTTTCAGTCGATGCAAATCATCAAAATAAATAGTATTTTTACTGGAAAATTTTATCAATGGGAGATTATTATATTTTTAATGCAGAACTAAATCCCATGGAATTATCATGACACCTCAAACAAAAATTTATATTATTTTATATAGTTTCAGTGAAGAACTATATTTTATTTTGAAAAAAAACAATTATATTATAAAATTGAAAGTTTCACATAAATAATCTAGTGCTTATAGAGTGAATCATATCTAAATCGATATCTAAAAAATGAAGTTTAGTTTGGAAAAAAATTAAAATCGAAGTTAAATAAGTGGTTTTCAAAATAAATTTAAAAAAATTGGGTGAAATCATACAATAATTTTCTTCCATTTTTCTAATCAACAATTATTTTAAAACATATATAGCAAGAAATATGTTTGTGATTATAGTGAACAGAGCTACTAATGTAGTCAAGTCAATTTCTAGCGGAATGCGTTTCTATAAATAATAGTGTTTAATGTAAAAGTTATAAAAATTGTACCTAATTAATGAACCAAGTTTTTGCTAAGTGAAATCTTTCTATATGTCAAACTTTTATTTGTAAAAAAAAAAAAAAAAATACTTTACAGTTTTAAGAACACTATGAATAACATAAAAGAAATCAAATTTACAAACTCCGAATTGAAACTAAAATACACTCAGTTTTACAATCAAGAATTTAATAAAATATTTATTAATTTATAATTTTTATTTATAGGAATATATTTTGTACAATTTCCTTAAAGAAGATATGCATGTATGTCTTACATTTAACATTTTTTAAATTTATTTTATTTTATTGCATTGAAATTTAATTTATCACTTAATTGAATATAATTAACTTAATTTATTTTAATGCTTCTAAAATAACACAATGAATATTTTATTATATTCGAAATGCGTTATGGTAGTATTTTTTTTTTTTTAAATAATTTTGGATAATTTTGACATTGAAAATATTAACGGGCCAAATGATCAAACGTAAAGCTAATCAGTTAAATCAGCACTTGTCTGCTGTATAAAAAGTTCTATTACAAAATTTTTGCATTTTAATTATTCTGATAACTTGTAATTATATAATTTTTAGCTTCCAGATTTAACATTTCAAACTGTCGCAACTTGTTTAATTTTACAATTTCATTCTAATTTCACTTAGTTTTTTCATGGTCATAGTATACGTGCCGATTTGAGTATTCGAAAAATAATATGCCGATAAACCCCTTCTTTGACGTTCGCAGCATGGTTTATTATTTGACTATCCAACGACTAACCGCTCGCATAACATAATAAAATTTATTTCAACGATTCGTCTTTGAATGTCAATGAGCCGGACACTTGATTATTGCATGAATAGCGTGAAGTTGAAATGAAGTGAATAAATACATTGGATTTGATGAACTAATACTAGAAACGTTTTGTCACTCGCACACAATTTTTATTTGGACACGTACTCGATAAGCCCGATGCACTTGAATAATGTAATCGGCTAAGTCCGTGTGCATACACTGCAGGCGTTCTGTCTGTCTTTATTTTAAATAGTAAATAACAGAATAAGGAGCTCCTTGGAGGGTCTGGTGAACGTTTTGAGCAAGAGGGTATAGCGGAACGGTAATTTGACCGAATATGGTATCCTATGAGGGTTGACCTATTTAAGGTCATGATAGCGTACCGTAAGTTTAGGACCTTATTTAAATTGTGTTTTCTATGCACGTGTCAAGTTTCGTTATTTATTAATTTCTAAAATGTGTCAATCTCAAATGATGCACATCTTTACATAATACATACAACGTACTGCGTTTATTCACAAACGATTTCGTACAAGCATAAAGTATTGGTATTAATTAATATTGATATCGGTATTGTTTCAAATGCATAAATTCATATGATCGTGTTGAAGTTATGTCTTTTTTTTTTTAAATATCACTTCGTTTCCAAGTACACTCGCGTGTATAAAGAAATAATTGTATGTTCTAGTAACGTGATTATGAGTAATTAGGTAAAAAGTCACATTTTTTCATCGGTCAACGACATCTCGTTTCGGATAATTCTATAATAATGTACAAAAAACGCTATCGGAAATGTGTAAATCCCTGTAATATGTATGGTAGCTATTGCTGAGTAGTACGGAGACAATATTTCATATCTCACTGCTACCAGTAATTATGTGTACTATAAATAAGTACATGACAAATAATAAACGTTCAAAGCATTCCAAAATAATTATTTTTTTCTAATCTGCAAGTTGAAATTATGATTAGGTGCCTACTCTAGAATGCAAAAGAAAATCTTACAATAATCATAACGATTATACAAGGTTTGATGTGCCTATACGCGTGTATATGCATCGATATTTGGTATAAAATATACGATCTAGGATAAATGGACGTGGCCGTTTGGACGTGGGGACAAATGGACGTTAACAAAAAAAAAAATATATATATATAAATCATTAAACAAATAAGTTATTTATTTTTATTATAATATGTAAATTTTAATGTCAAAAATATTCATTCAATAAAACCTTATCCTGATTTGAATGACATCTTACATGTACACTTGAATGCAATTTGTACACGACTAACACTGTTATAGATGTGTACTGTCGTGTCTCGTGTATCACCGTGTTTCGATAAAGTGTGTTATTACAAGTTGTAAAAACCAATAAGTTATATATAAATATTGATATAAAAGGTACCTATTGCCAAAACGATAAAATTCAATAAGGTTTGATATTATGATACGATACCATTAGTTATATTATGAACATAAAATATCAATAGTTTTATAACCTATAAATATATAATTATTTTTTTTTTTTACGTCCATTTTTCCCTACGTCCAAATGGCCACGTCCAAACGGCCACGTCCAAACGGCTACGTCCATTTGTACGTCCCTATTTGTAAAATATAATATCAATAAGCGATTGGTACCTACTGCCGAGTAGTTTATTTTTCGTGCGAAAAACGGAAATGTTATTCTACTATATACCTATAGTGGCATATTACAAATCCATGTAAATTTATTATTATTTTTTTCCCAATGTTACCGAACACTGTTTAATGTACCAAACTATTGCTTAAATAACTTTCTGGAAGATTGTGTAGAGTATCGATGTATTTTATTCAGATATATTTTATATTTTTATTCAGTTTTTATCGGAATAATACACAACCGTTCACGAAACAAGCATGTAAGTAAATCGATTTGTGTAAAAATGAAAACTAAATATTAAATACATACAAAAACTTAATTTAGACCAATGATTTAAAACCGTTAATCAGTACCTACTTATTTAATTAATTTAAATGTTGAGTATACAAAGAAAACTTATATATATATTTGTGCATAATACGCTAAGGATATACATTATAGTTTGTTCTTTTAACTTGAAGTATTCCAGTCTTTCTACATTTAGATATTGGTTTATGATATTATTATACAAAAAAATAATAAATAAATAAATAAAAAGGAACATCAAATGTCGAAAATTACAAGTCACAATATAATTTTCATTTCAGGATGAATACGTATCACCATTCTTCATTTTCATATCTTCACCTATAAATAAAAATAAAAATATTTTAATACAATTATAATTTTCAAAACAGCGAATAATTATTTATAAAAAATAACTTATTTTACTTATTTTATTTATTTTTATTATACATAAAAATATAGTAAGGTTAGGATGTTGTTTTGTAAATTATTATACCTGAATCTAGTAAATTATCATACACTGTGTACATACAATTTTAATAAAAATAAAAATAAAATTGAGATTGATGTTTGAACAATTTTCATTACTATGAAACTAATTATTGAGACTAATAAATGTGAACATGATTTAAAACTAATAATTTTTAATTATATCGAATTATTTTACCGATACATATTCAGTGAGTGTAAGAAAGTGCTACAGTATTATTAACACTATAGATGTTTATATTTGTGTTATAACACCCAGTATGTGATGTAATAATTTTAGCCTGAGCAAAACATTTCAGTTGTATTTTAATTGTTTTTTTTGACGTTTCAAAAATGTTAAGAAGAAATAGCTCATAGAAATAGCAATCATGTCAAGTTTCGATTTCTTATAGTTGCTCTAATGTATGAAACGTTTGATGCACTAGATGTTATAACAAAGACAATTTATTTTTATTTTTTTTACAGTACGAAGAGAATAAATATATTATGAATGAGCACCATTTTCTAGGGCATTTAGGCCTAACGTTCCCCAACAAACATTTCGTAATAATATACTTAAATAAATTAAAAATATGTATAATGTATACCACAATCAGAAATACATAAAAATGTATTATATAGACTGTTATTCCCTCCCTCCACTTATAATAATAATTATCTATTCATTGGGTATTATAATCTCAGATACCTAACCATCAAAATAATGTTAATTATTAGAAGGTATTGTAAAAGATGATAGTTTTGTAAAACACTAACTATAATATTTTATTTCTCATGGTTTTTTTTTTTCCATTAAAAATGTAAATATAATTTAAAATAAATAATTACAGCGAGAAGTTAAATCGATTTTTCGTGATAAAATATTAACTGATTTAAAAAAAAATATATATACACATTGAATTAGTTGGACGTATGATATTTATCGATTAAAGTTTGCTTAACTCATAGAATATGTGTGAAATAATAGTTTATAAACTCTATAGAGACAATACAGGTAATGAATTAAAGTGGTGGAATAATTAAAGTATGAAATTATTACGGTAACTTATAAATCAGCAACGTATCTAAAACAAACTCGAAAAGTGTTTAAAAAATAAATCATCACAATAACAGTTGCTGCCGATCAAATTTAATTTCTGTGACAACACAGTACGACAAATATTTTATTTTAAACTAAAATGGTGGTATTCCTTTTCATTGCGTTCGAACAAAAATCGTTGCGATAATATTATTTTATATCAATATATATTTTATACTATTTTGATAACTCTAAATTCGGAACTCAAGTATTTCCATTTGAACTACATTTTGTAACTAAATTACTCGCATCGTTTTCGATCAGTAATTTCCAACACCGGGAGCATATCCAACTACGTCACGTTTACATAGATTTCTAGTATTGGTCGCGCAATCACATCCCAATCGTATGTCACGTATTCGGTTGCCGCCTTCGTTGTTAGCTGTTCCACGAAAGTCACCAACCCTGCGGACGAAGCCAGGAACAGGACCGGAAACACACGTGCATCCTGATGCTGCAGAAATAGGACCACATCCATTTTCTAAGCGAGGACCTTTAAGGTTACATGTCCACCACGGCACCTAAAACCAAAATTTCTACCGATTAAACCACGTACTATTACGACGTAATGCACCAATTACACAACATATACTCAGTCATGATTCTATTGTTTTTTTAATAACTTAGGGACAGTAAAATAACTCAAAATAGCGAAGAAATTCCGCGTGACAAAATACCCAATTAGAAATTACCAATAACTTACCTATTGCAATAGTGACACTACGTTATTTCAGAGCCATTTAAATGTTGTGTAAATAACACTTTTTAATTTGTATGATTGGAGAAAAATTAAGGATAATCTGAGATGATTAATTAATTAATTTTTACTCAACCGCATTACAAAGTTTAAAATTTGAAAATCATAACAAAAAGAGTTTTTTATTTCTTTATTATAATCCGTTTTAAAAACTTGAAAAAATGGTTATCCTAATATATAAATATACCACTAGTGACGAAAAATTGTTAGAAAAAATGTTATAAAATGTTTAATCTGTAATTTTAATAAGTAACAAGCAATTATTTACTAATAAAAATAATTATTACAGGTCACTATCAATTAAAGAGAGAAAAAAATTCAGCCAGCGATAACATTAGTAGTAATAAGTAAATAATCCATGATAACTAAATAGTGCAAATAATGTAAGTATAATATTTAATTTTTAATGAAGAAATAATTCAATGACTTACAAATTCTGGCATAGACGAAGCTTGATCGAGTGGTGCACTTGACACATATTTAATATAGATGTTCTAAAAACATAAACGCATATAATTCAGTAATGAACAAATAATATTTATATATTTAACTTTCAAAATATATATTTAACTTTTATTTAAAACTGAATCTTCAGTCTTTTAGGATTTGTATTTTTTAAATAATCAATAAACATCTCGAATTGTCAATGATATTATCAAAAATTAGTTATTGTTTCTTATACAAGTGTAATTAGGATAAATATTTTGCTAAAAAATCCGTACCAATGAGATTCTTCAAAAATCCTATTTCGAATTTTGGGTTTCAGTCTAAAATATCCGAATTTCGGAATTGTGGATTTGAGTATCCGAATATTAAGTTTAACAATAATCCACACGCAATTGAATACGATAGATAATAAATCAAAATAATTTAGGAATCGATCATCAAAACTATCGATCTCCCTGATATTTTCCATATATATACTTATAAAGTCTACATAAAATAATAATATATTTACGTTAAAATATTAATAGCTACATTGTGATTTTGATACGATTACTTTATTGTAGGGCTTATAAGAGTTTATATAGTTATAATAGTTTTTATAGTTAGTTTTTATAGTTTAAGGTTTATATAATTATAATAAACTATATTTAAACTGTATATAATTTCAACTAGTAATGAATTTAATGACAAATATTTTATTAGGACGTATTACAATACACTCAATACCACCAAAAAACTTATTGTCGGTACACCGTACCATATTAAACGTTATATTTAAACAAGTCTTATAATTGAGATAGTTAGATAAACGTAAATTGTATAAAAATGCAACGATTTCAGAATAAAATGAATCCACGTAATTAAAACTCAACAGAGTAAACTTACATGATCGAGACAAAACAAAATTTAACATACGAACGTTGCGTTGTTAAACAATTGTAATATGTTCGATATATTGATTATTAATAAAATATGTATATATATATATATATGTATATTTGTATTATTTTAAATTCTCTATGTTTTTTTCAAACATATTTACTAATTACTACAGATTACAAAGGGGTAAAAAAATCATATATATATTTTGTCCGCTTATAATCATTATTCATTTAACATCATCAAGTAGTACACCATATATTATTATGATGTTGTGCTTAAAAAAAACTCCGAATAAATAATATTACAAATAAATAAACAGCTCAACATGGTAATACTTCAACTAATATTAGTTGATGATGAACTGATTCGTAACTTTTTGGCTGGGTGGCCACTATAAATGTTTTGTAAGATGATTGAAATAATAAGTATGTCAAATTTACTTTAGCCTTGCACAATATACATATATATTGGTAATATTAAGTATTATTAGTTAACTTAATAAGACCTAAAATATTATCGTTTTGTTGATAAATATTATAACTTAGGATAAAATATCTTAACATAAAGGACAAGAAAACAATATAAATATTCTTTATAAAAGATTTTATTTATGAAATGGACACTTATATAGTTAAGCAGAATATTTTAATAATTTTTGAGTCATTGTATGAGAATATGTAATTGTTGTTGATCATATTAAATATTGTTTCTTATAACCATATTGAATTGCAATAAATAATCAACATAATCCTAAAAGGTAATTAAGTAATAATGGTGGCAATAATGGAGCTGGAGGTAGTGGTGGTAACGGAAGACATGGTGGTGGTAATAATGGAGCCGGAAGTGGTAGAGGTAATGGAAGACATGGTGGTGGCAATAATGGAGCTGGAAGTGGTAGGGGTAATGGAAGACATGGTGGTGGCAATAATGGAGCTGGAAGTGGTAGAGGTAATGGGAGAGGTGGTGGTAGTGGGCATGGAGGCAATGGCAGAGGAATCAATGGAACCGGTATCAATTTAGGAGGAGGTGGAAGACATGGAAGTGGAGGTGGAAGGCATGGAAGTGGAGGTGGGATACATGGCGGTGGAGGTGGAAGGCATGGAAGTGGAGGTGGGAGACATGGTGGTGGAAGTGGGAGAGGTGGTAGTGGAAGTGGGAGAGGTGGTAGTGGAAGTGGGAGAGGTGGTAGTGG